CTTTCATTGAAAAATGAATTGCTATTCATGACATCCCCAAATAATTTCAGTTTACAAATTTGAGTATGATTTTCATGAAATGGATCACTTATTTAATTTCTAAAATTTATATTTCAACAGATTTGGAATTTAGAGTTTCTGATGAGAATAAGATTGGAAGTTAGAGAAGGAGGGGGCAGTCTCCCAAATCTTAGTAAAGACAGTTCCTAATTCCCTAAGCAGAGTTTCTTAACTTAGGCACAGTCATTTTAGAGCAGGTCATTCTTTATTTTAGGGACTGGCATATTGATTGTAATATATTTAGCAGTACCCCTGTCTCCCCGACTAGATGTCAAAGTGCCTCCTTTCCCCAGTTGTGACAAAAGGCACAAACTTCAGGCATTGCCAAACATCCCCCAGAGGCAAAATAAAAATTGCCTCTTTTCTTACTCAACATGTTACGAACCACTACCCTAAATCAAGAATGAGCATTTGCAGTGATTATGTTATAATATTGTTATGATTTTTTTCCTCTTAAGTTTAGTCATATTTGATTTAACCTCCAGTCAGATGCACTGCCAGTTATTAGAGTTAATTAAATAATAAACTCAAAGGCATTTCCAGCACTTGTCTTTTTTTTTTTTTTTTTATGGAAAACCTTTCAGTAAGGGTATCACAATGGTTATAAGTATCTATTTTCTTTAAAAATAAAATAGAAAACTAATCTATCCTTTTCATTTAAAAATGAAAAATATTACGCAGTAAAAATAACTAATTGAATCTAAAGGCACACATATTTGTACATGCCAGGCTATTAAATCTAAAACCTAAACTTACAATATAGTATTTTCACCCAATAATTTGATCCATTTCTCAAAAAAATCCCAGGTGATCTAACATTTTCTAAATCTGCACTATGTATTTCTTTATATATATTATGGTTAACATAATATGTGGGATAATATGTGTGAAATTTAAAGGAAATATACACAACATATCACCACAGAGCACTTCACATCATTTGATCTTCTTCTTTTTCTTTCTTTCTTTTTTTTTTTTTTTAGAAAGTTTCTCTTTTCTCCCTGTAAACAGTAATGATAAGCTTGAAGAGAATGACCATTTTAGGATACTTTATGCATCAGAAATAGGAAAACCACGGTTGCAAGATCAACAGAGGACAGGTCTGAGCGGAGCTCTCTAAGGCAACAGTAAACCAAAGGAGAAATTGAAAACTGTTGACTGTGGAAGCTGTAAAAGATTCCTAGGCAACAAAGAGGTAGTAAATTGAACCATAGATGGGGAATGTAAAGAAATAATTTATCCAGAGGAACGTTTCTCAGATTTAATGTGGTAAAAAGTCAACTGTTGAGATGCACATTCTGATTCAAAATGTCTGGAGCAGGGTCTGGTAGCCTGGATTTCTAATAATCTCCCACATGTTGATGTTGCTGGTTTGTCCCTGTGCCACACTTTACCCAGCAAGGTGCTAGAATACCCCACTCTCTACCTCCAACACAGGTCTGGAAGTAAAAGTGCCAACTCCATTCCATCACATTATCTTTGAGATTAACAATGGGGGACTTCATTTCCCCTAATTCTCATATATACATAAAGATGTGTTACCATTATACCTTCTTTAAAGGAAAACATAAGCCAGACTGTTGCTGTGAAATTAAGATAATTTCTTGTTGTTTTTAAAAATAAACATTTACATATATATTAGTAAAATGTTACTATAGTTTTTGCTTTTCTTATATCCTGAAGCAGCAGGTTCCCTGGTATATTACTGAAGAAGTCATGAAACATTCAAATTTTTAAAATCAAAATTAAGGTGAGGTTTGACTTTTAGATGATTAGTTCCCAACGAGTTTTCCAGCTCAATCTTGAGTTTTGATTCATTCTTTATGACAACCTGGCCTGTGCTTTTATCCTAATCATTTGATTCCTTTTACACCTCTGGGAAAACCAAATCCTGGCTGACTTCATACTCTCTCCTCTAAAGTAACTAATGAAGACTTGATTTTAGGTTTTGGCATTTTGTCAAAGTCAAGATGTGTCAGGAAGAGAAGCAGATACAAAGATGACAGATAGATGAAGTATCTCTGATGGAAAACATCCGCTCGTGAAGAAGCTGGTAGTATCATAAAAATGTGTATATTTAGTCACAAAAATCTGAAGCCTAAGCACCAATATGAAGTCGGAGTCATTACAATCTCTTGAAAAGGAGCTTATCATAGAAGGACAGGAATACATAAATTTGTTCCTATGACAAATATTTCAAAATAGCACTTTGCATATTTCACAAGCTATACTTAGAAACAAAAAAGGTATGCTTAGGAATTTATTACACAATTGTGTAGGGACAAGAGATTTATAAACATAAGATCCCCCATTTTTCTGAAAAAAATAGAAGAAAAATTTTCTCTCAGAAAAGGCTTATTATAGTCATTCGGAGCACCAGAATGCTACACACTCTTTAATTTGTATTCGGATTGATAAAATACCAAAGCTATGTAAAAAGTTTAAAACTTAAAGACAGCACCAAATTTTTCTAAATAATATTCTGAGTTTTAAACTGATCTAGGCAAATTGTAGGCATTTTAAATTAAGACAACATAGGTTTATACTGTTGACAAATAAAGTCTACCTACTTGGAAGAGCAGTTACCAAGGTTGGTATTAAGGTTACGACTTTGGAGATTACCATCTCCAAATACGCACTTTCTGCATTACCTGAAATTTAGGTAGTCTAAATAATTCACCTATTCTTATCACATCACAGAAAGTCACTCTTAGATCATTGACATGATGCCAATAATGATTAAACTATTTAATCAGTTCATTCAAGCAATTGATAAAATTCAGAAGGAATACAGTCTTCAAAATTCTTAGCAGCTCCATTGGACACAAATGTCAAGCTGTGTTACTCCATACATTGAATACTCCTATAAATATAATTTGTCACCAGAAGTACAAGAGTTCCTTTAGAGAATACAATAAATTTGTCTGCTCTCTAAGAAAGGTAATGGAGAAAATCATGTTTCCTTTTGACGGTTTATTGAACTCACCCCATGCGATGGATAAGAGATCCAGCCCAGCTCCCCTTGAATTGTTTTTGAATCCAGTAGATTGACTAAAAGAAAACAAAATACACAAACACAGTTAATAAAAGTGAAATATTTATATTTGCTTCTGTTGAGTTCACATTGCCTGTTGTTGATGTGGCTCAAAAATCTTAATTTCCTTTTCATTATAAGTCTATAAATAGTATAAAAAGTAGGGAATTACAAAAGATACACCACAAGGAAAGTTAAGAGACCAAAAGTTTGTGTGTCTTTTTAAACTGTTTGCATTTGTTTACAAGGATAGGTTAATGTTCAATATACGGATGATTTCTGATATAATTATTTAAAGAGGAAACAATGAAAATGCAAAATAGAAAACAACATGAATGCTAGCACATTACAATAACTTTAAAAATATTAAATTTGATAAATTTACATATGATTCCACAATTAATTCATTTCTTAAATATGTTGCCACAGTGAATCAATATACCTGTTTATTTATATCTAATATGGCACTTTCATATTGTCCCTGGTTAATACTCAACATATTATTTTGCAATATGTCTTTTTTTAAAAATACTTAAGTATTCATTATTTACTTATATGTAACAAACAAAAAGCTTAACTACCAATTTGAGGAGAAATCAAAGTAAAACCATGTTTCACAATAACACTTGTGTAAAGTTTTACCTATTTAAAGCAGTTATTTTTACTCAAAGGCTTAAGTGATTTTACTCAGAATTTGTGCTAGTTCTAATGACTTTTAATCAGTATTTGTAGACAAAAAGTAAAATGTGACATGCATATGGTTGCATTTTGAATATATAATTAAAAGAAAATGAAACATTATGTATTTTTCACACAGAATATTCATTTGTAATGGGTTTGAAAATAAAATATAAAACAGCACTTCAAATACAATGAATAACAAAAGGTTCACTTTGTCTATCTGACCTATTAAATAATGGAAACTATGGTTTTACCTCATCTTTCTTCTAAATTAAAAAAAAGAATCCCATGATTGACTAATGGAAGATGTGAAGGAAGGTTACATAAACTAAGCATGCATTATTAACATGAACCAGACCATGAAAATCAATAAATACAATAGAAGAGAATGATTTTCAGGGGTTACATATATACACAAACCAAAACATAATGCAAATAACATACACTGTACAACATGTTCTCATGTTGTCAATAAAGCGTTTCCTGATACATGAAAAGGACCATCCTTTTGAAAATCATGTTTTTTTTTTTTTTTCGCAAAGCAAACTTTAATCTTATAAAATGTTAGAAAAAACAAATTCCATATTTGATAGACAATAGGTTTCTAAATTTTCAAGCAGCACTAAAATTTTGATTGCCTGTTTAGATGATAAATACATTAGGTGAGTATAAGCAAGGCTATTGATAACTATTATATAAAAGAAATACAGTTCTCAAATTTAGATTCTTTAAGTTTTGCTGGGGAAAGATAAAGATAAACTTTACCTTTTATATTATAATTTCTTAATAATTAAAGAATTTTTCTCCCAATAAATTAATCCTAATGAGAAGTAATTGTATTTAGATTAAAACAGAAGACAGCTGCTTCATGGATTACATGGTATAATTTCCATAATTGAATTATTTCCCAGGATATCAGTTTGGAAATTAACAGTATGCTTAATTATATTGCAATTATGTCTCAAAAATAATTAAAAACCCTCTACCAATTGATCAATGTTATAGATTATATTTCAGATCAGCGTTAGAGAAAATTTTTGAAACTATGAAAATACTTCCTCACCTTCAAATTAAATGCTATTACCAACATTCATTCTGATAAGAGGTATACCTAGTTTAGTTGTTGGTTGTGCCATACCAATCATTTAATTTCTCTGAGCTTTATATGGGATTTACATAGTAGAAATGACCTTGCCAGTATGCATGAATTATTAGATTATATTTGCAATGTCCTTAGGGGTTTAAATGGCTTAAGGTATCATTGTGTTTAGATAATAATTGCACATTACTAAATGAAAATTATATGTTACTTCATATGCTAAGATGAATCATTAGTTTTATCTCAGTATTAGTAAACAGAGTGAGGAAAAGAAGATATGGTTATAACACAGATTCCATCTAGTAAAATACTTATTGGAATGTAGGTTGTCAACTAATGAACTACCGTATCCTTAAGTTTCTTCTGATAATAATAAATAATAAAATACTATTGGACTATTCACATCAGCATTTTGTTTCTACTCAAAGAATAACAAGTAAACCAAAATAAGTTAGACCATACAGTCAATTAAGTGTTGAAGATTAATTAAATTTATTTTATTTTTTCAGAAATTAAATTTTTAGTGTATTCCATTTAGCATAAATGAGAAAAACACAATTAGCAGCATTACTTCTGATTTCGATTTCTATTGTCTATCAAGCAATTATATCTGCCCTGAGTATCTTGCAATGTTGCTGTGATGATCAAATAACATATATTTAAAAACACCATGAGTTTATAAGTTCATAATATGCTGTACAGAATCCATTCTTGTAAACTGAATATATTAATATTATTTAACAACAGTTTCATTTTGGCTTCCGAATTATATTTAATTACAAGACCCAAATACGTGACCTAGTAGAGTAGAATAGTTAACTTCAAAACACTTTTTTAAAAGTGCATACTTTGGATTTATAAAGTGCCTTGTGTTTGTACCCAAATAAAAATAACACCGTCTAAGAATTCTAAACATTTTAAAGTGAATGGTTACTTAATTGGGACACCCAGGATACAAACCTCAAGTCTCTTGTGATCTATTGTAGAACAGTTTGAGTATACAGCATAATTGGGGTAAGAAAATAAAATGAATGGAATTTCAAAGTAAATCTGTGAGAGATTTATCTGCATACATTGACCAAATCTAACACTGCAATACATATCTTTTTTTTTTTTTTTTTTTTTTTTTTTTTTTTTTTTTTTTTTTTTTTTTTTTTTTTTTTTTTTTTTTTTTTTNACAATCTCGGCTCACTGCAACCTACGCCTCCTGGGTTCAGGCAATTCTCCTGCCTCAGCCTCCTGAGTAGCTGGGACTACAGGCACGCACCTCCATGCCCAGCTAATTTCTGTATTTTTAGTAGATACAGGGTTTCACCATATTGACCAGGATGGTCTCGATCTCTTGACCTTGTGACCCACCCACCTCGGCCTCCCAAAGTGCTGGGATTAGAGGAGTGAGCCACTGTGCCTGGCCTGCAATACATATCTTAAACCCCACACTGATACAGGCAAGAACTCCCTTCTCTAAACATGTGTAGACCTGATCATTTCCTCAGGACAGACAGGATAGGCTGATGAGTTGTGACAGGCAAATATAATACTCTAGACTGAGTTTGATTTGTACTAGTAATTGGATAGTTTATTTCAATTGCTGGACAATATGAGTTCACAATTCTAAAATCTGATGAAAAGGAACACTTTCTTAAGGCTGGATAGGAACATATGCACGACTTCATTCTTTAATGGTTACCTCAGGCCACTTATTTATCAAAGCTGTCAGTTACCCCTCACCAGATTTCATATTCTAATGATGTGATTGCCAAATATTTTTGGTATGTAACAAAAAACACATTATTTTATTAATTTCAGAATATTTTATATTCAAATAATTATATGGCATATATTAACTTTTTAAATGAAAGTGATTTAAATTTGAAATGTTTTTAAATGTCATGATTCTATTTAAGTAAGTGGAGTTTTACTGGGCAAAAATCAACTTGGAAATCACCATCCTAAATCTAGATGGATATGGTTCTAGGTTTTTCTTTCACATGCTTTACTCTCTCTATTCTTATTGCTTTTAAATTGAGATGTATGAGGAGAAGGGGCTTATATTCATGAGAAGGAGAAGGCAGTTCTTACTTGGACTGTTGACTTGGCTTTCAGATGGGCACTAAGTTAATGAGATCTGGAAAGAAGGAATGGTGGTTTCTGATGTAAATAAGAAGGTGCAGAATGCAGTAAAGGAGTAAGAACAAAATATAAGGCTGGCCACAGTGGCTCACGTCTGTAATCTCAACACTTTGGGAGGCCTAGGCGGGCAGATCATTGGAGGTCAGGAGTTCAATACTAGCCTGGCCAACATGACAAAACCCTATCTCTACTAAAAATACAAATACTAGCCATCGTGCTGGCACATGCCTGTAATCTCAGCTACTCGGGAGGCTGAGGCAGGAGAATCACTTGAACCCGGGAGGCAACTGTTGCAGTGAGCTGAGATGGCGCCACTGAACTCCAGCCTGAGTGACAGAGAGAAACTCCATCTCCAAAACAAAATAAATAAACAAAGAAACAAAGTATGGACTAAATTCACTCAAATCGGCCCTAAGTACCTATGGAAAGGAGGAAGTCTGGATGTCGTTTTTGCCACTGATGTCTACTGTTACATTTTCACCTCTGTTGGATTTTGGGATTAAGATTCCCCAGAGTCATGCTCTCTTCCTTTCCTATCCTCCATCACAATGGAGAGATTCAGTCAAAAGTCCACTGTTAGTAAACTTAGTAGTATTGGTAGTGTCACAAAGAGTTGTCTATTCCAAGAATTTACATCATCTTTTCTTCTTAGTAAAAGAAACAAATGAGATTTTTAAAAAGTTCTCAGTTAGTAATATAAAAGTTTGAAACAAATGTTCTCCATTAAGTGAGGGCCATTAAAAATGTCATATATGTTTCTGGAGTTTTGATTTTTAAAGAATTACTAACACATAAAGATTTGTAAAGGACATCTCTGAATTCTGATTCATAGTGGCTACTTGTCCGCTTAGAAAGACTGAGAGTGAAACTAATATTCATACCTTGAAAGAGTTTTAAGTGCTACAAACATGCAGACAGTGCTAAAAGGATTTCTAAAGTTAAATGCCACAGTTTTTTATTGAAGCACATCTTTCCAATTACCTAATAATACAATCATAGGCTTTGTGGTAACGCTATAGTTGCATTTTATGGAACTGAGTTATAAATAATTATTAAACAATCATTTCAAGGTGAACAGTAGGCTTTAATGGCTAAAGAATTTCG